GCAAACCCCAGCACAACCTCAAATACTACCGCTGCTCGTCCGCGGTCACTTGTTTAGTGAGCCCCGAACCCATCTTAATCAGGGCTAGCCATCAGTTTTCTGGCCGTTCTCCTTATGCGCGACCTGGGAACGCATGCAACTCTGCTTCTGATCACACACTCTGGGGAGCAAAAACGGGAACTGTTCATCCATGGGACTGATAAACGAGAGTGAAAAGGGAAAAGTGTTTGAGGACATGAAATTCAATTCGGACGATCTGACAAAACGTCCCAGTTCACCGGACTCACCGAATGAAGAGCAGTGTTGAGCAACTGTGTGCTCTGATCCGATGCAGCTAAAAGTATGAAAACACAATGAACGGACATAAGATTCGGGGAAACAAGTAAGCTCAGTATGCATCCATAGTACCTACGATAAAAAGTCAGGTTGCATGTGGAATAACTACGACTTAGCCTAACGGTTGACAGCCGTGTCTGATATGTGAGCATCCACTTGCCATCAACACATCACATAAACAATGTGTTATTGATTGTCAAAGAAGGGAGAAGATTTTTTCCGGTTTGAGGTGACTCTCTCCAATCTGGGGATAAATTGAGTTGATGGATAAACCCACAACAAACGTGGAAATATGGTACGCGTCACCTGAACGGTGACCAGGCGATGGTATGTCGGGTTTGTCCATATCCTACCAATTTTGGGGACCTTTTTACCGAAAGAACGCCCGTTACGTTCTCGAACATCTCCGATGATGATCCGCTGCGATGGCTTAAGATAAAATGACCACATACCCACAGTTAAGTGACCCAAGTGGCTTTCACCAGTCCTCGACTTGGAGACCCGCTCGAGGGTTTAAAGCAAGGCTAACCATAGACTTTATTTAGGTAGTTAAGCGCTTCATCTCCACTAGGTGATTTGCTCGCGCAACTCCATACAGTCAAGCACAGTCACACACAGACCTACTGAACATTCTGTATCTATTGTATTTAGTATATAATCTATTCTCTCGCGTCCTCTCTCTCTCTCGATGCCTCAAAAAGCCTCAGTATGGTCGGGGGTGGGTGTCTAGGGTTTCCACTGGTCACCCTTCCCTTGAAACACCTCGTAAAATGCTTCCATACGACAAAGTATTTCGAATAGCCTCTACTAAGACAGCCCTCCCTACTGACTGCCATCTCGTGGCGGAGTTATTCTCCCAACAAAGTGAGAGAACGAAAAGCTGACATCCGGGACTAGAACCGGATTGGTGGAACACTAGTAGGGCATATAGGGGAGTTGGTCGAAAGAACTGATTCGAAGCCAACCAAGAAGAGGGGTACGAACCACACACAAAACACACCTTCCTGGTTGTGGCAGTGGTCAGCAGCTCGAATGGGCACCAAAGGGTATAGGGCACCTTGGACGTTTCACCCTGTCCAAAGGGTGAATGATCCGATGAACTGAACATCGGCTCCTAATGGATTGCGGTTTTCACACACCGCCCCGCTGCCTTGCGGGTCAGGCGTTGGCTAGCCAAAGGCTCCGGTTGTGGATTCCTCAAGAAAATTCACCTGCCTCGTACTGGGCAACCTGGTGGTATTCAGCCCGCAAGCAAATCCTCGAACGTTTTTATTTATTCATAAAGATTATCGTACCATGATTTACGTGGCACACAGTCTGGCCTCAGACAAGTTATATATATATATATATATACTTTCTCTCTCTCTCTCTCTCTCGATACAATCATTATAGTTGAGGACGTATGATCGCCGTGGATGAACGCGAACAAAGATGCAAACCCGTACACACAAATAGTTCGCTGTGGTTGGTTATCTTGGCTGCTCAACATTTTCACTTTTTTTCCGACGGTTTGATCTCCAGCTACTCCCATTGATTTTTCATCGATTGTGCACATTGTTACTGTTCGCCCGGCCTTTAATAATCTGAATGAGAATGGCGATGGCCTATTCCCGATTACCAAGAAAAGAAAAGATTCAGATTGAACCGAGTCGAACACAGTGAGAACAAGGGACAAAAATGATCGGTGGAGAAGAACACTATTATAAACGAACGGGTACAAGCAGAACACTGCCACTTCACAAGCACTGATGGTGTCACCCTGGGGCTGATGATGAAACGTTTGCAAACAGATTGCCCGACTCAGCGAACAGGCCAAATGGAAACTTGTTTTTGGTCACATGACGTGCAATTATTGTCAAGCAGTGAGGGAGGGACACGCGGGTGCCGGGTGGGATGTGGCGCACAAACGGAATGCTGCTAGCGCACGTGTTTTCGTAACAAAACGGAACAAGTCCGAAACGTTTGGTTCATACACATCATCAATGAACAAGAACTTTACGAACATTCAAACTTCGACTACTTGAAAGTTATTCAAGTAGCCTAATTAGGAGTGCTGCAATGATTATCTGAGGATCAAATGCTGGACCAGGTTCGCCATAAAGCTGTTTCTTTAGTTGAGAAAAAATAATCAGCGTCTACACAGATGAACGCTGTGTCATGAAATGCCACTAGGGAGTCGCCACGTTAACCGTCATTGCATATAAGTGTCGAAACCAAGCAGCACAAATTCGTGAAACCCGTAGAAACGTCTCACAGTCAGACATGTGGCACATGACAAAACGACATACCAAGTCCTGCTAATATGACCAATTCCAGTTGTGACCTACGAATGGATGATCGTCTGGAAGCACTTTTATGGTATTTAAACTAAAACTTAGTTCACTTTGATGAGCGATATACCGTACCTGAATTTCAAAGCCTATCTAGACCAGTCTGGAAACAACAATTTCTCTGAGCTTCGAGCAGGCCTCGCTTTCGTCCAAATAAATTGTGTTTCATGAAGTGCGCGGCTTCCAAAACATCTGGTAAAGAATAACCACCCACTGCTTGTCATCTTGATGATCATATTCAGATGAATGAGCCCAGGATAGTTAGCTCATTCGAGAGAAGAAGCAAGGAAAATCTGATCCCAAAGCCTTCAAATAGGAGGGGGGGGAGAGGAATAAAATAACCACATCAATCCTAACCGCGATAATCACCAATCGAATGCATGGAGCGATGGATTTCCGAACACTCTTGGCTCGTGTATTTAGGTCGTAAAACTTCACTGAGTGAACTAGTGTTCGCAGTGAATTGCGGTTTACCCTCAAGCACCCCACTAACCTATGAGTGGTGGTCAATTGGGACAAATTGACAACATTGTCCACCCCTCCCCCGGAAGAAACCGGTCATAATTTATTACTACTTACTACAGGATATAAATAGGTCGACAAACATAAATGCAAAAATGGAAAATAACAGATGCATGATTATGGACACCGTGATTTCATATTCGAAAATTCAGGCAATTGTGATATCTCGCAATCAATTAACTACGCATACATATGCCAGTGTACGGTCTCAATCAAATTTGGTCAGTTTGATGTATATATATATATATATATATATATATATATATATATATA